GGTCTGAGAGTCTATATTCACATTCATTCAAGCAGGTTTGCCAGCTTTTGATGGAATTTTTGATTTCCTGGATATCTCTCTGAGTCTGTTTCATGCATTCTAGGTCTTTCTTATATTGTTCATTCAAAGTTTCCATCATTTTCCAATACACCTCTATTTTTTTTAACTATGTCTTCTTTGGATATGCTCAGCATTTCTTTCATTATGTTTATCAATTCTTGTATCTAGATTATTTCTGCTCTGATTCCCTTTACAGCTTCATGGACTTGTATTTTTACTTCAATTGCTATGATTTCAGAAATTTCAGGTATGCGGCTTACACTTTCTTATATGTCCATGTTTCCTGGACTTGCTTGGGATGGGTTAGAGGTTTGAGATTGCGCTTTCCTCCTCCATTTTGTCATTTTCTTGTATTCCTGCAGAGAAGCCAAATGCACAGTCTTAGTTGCTTCCTGAGTTGGCACTGGTGGCCTGTTCAGAAGGGGGTCTCCTCAGCTGAATGAGGGTCAGTGGGTGGACCTTTCCCAGGCTCCTGTGCAGTGCACTGAGGCTCCCCAGCTGGTTGTAGTTACTAGACAGGCCTTTTCCTGGCCCTATGAAGCACACCTAGGCTTCCCAGTTGGTTGGAGTCACTGGGAAGGTCTTTCCCAGGCCCCAAGTGGCACACAGATGCACCCCGGCTGGTTGGGGTTGCTGATCAAGCCTTTCCCTGCATGGTTAACTGACTTTACATATCAATTTCTAACTGCAGTGTGATGGTGACTAGGCAGTGGGTTTTCGAAATTCAAGACCAGTATTTCTCCTTTCCTGACTTTCCTGAGAGACAGGAATCATATACCTACTGAATCTGCTTCCCAGGCTGTCTTCCCAAAACCAAGAGCTTTCTAGCTCACATATAATGAGTATCTACAGCTTCTTCCAGAAACTCTTGTGAGATTCTCCCAGGTGACTTGAGTTAAAGGCTAAAAAGGAATTAAATGTACTGATGAACACAAAAATAGCACTGTGAATAAATGACTATCAAATAATGCAATCATGTTTTCCGAGCACCTGTGGGTGCTGCTCCCACACTGCCATGGGATTTTTGTTTCTCTTGTTTCCTACCCTGAAGTGAGCTGTAAAAGATGTGAAGTCATGATGTCAAATGTTGTCCATCGTGGGTGCTAAAGGTCTCACCCAGGTTCCGTTGAGCAGTGCTGAAAACTTGTGGTATAAGCCAACCTCTGGCCACTTGCTCCAGAACATAAAGACAGCCCCCAACTCTCTTTGGAGCTGGCTCACTCTCAACCAGCCCAGAGAAACCTTGAGAACTCACAAGGCTGAGGCTTCTGGGGAGCTGTACACATGTACCTGCCCTGGCTATCCCCTGTGGTGCCTTCAAGGAAAAGTCACTGCTAGGCAAGGGCCATAAAGATGAAATTCCTAATGAGCAGAAAAGACTCTAAAAACTAAAGAAGCAATGGGTAAATAATTCATAAATGATTAAGACACCAAAAAAGCAGACATATTTAAATCAATTCTGGATGTCACCTGAAGAGTGAAAGACTGGATATTTCCAGTCTGCCACTGAGGAAAGCAGACAGTGTGCCAGGAAGAGAGCCACAGCCAAGTGTATTCTGAATACTCCAAAGAGTTCCAAGTGGATTTTACATGACTCTAAAGCAACAACAAAAATTTGCATTTTGCAAAGAAATCAACTATTTCCCAAAGCTATATACAGACATATCTTGTAGGCCGATACTAAGCCCTTTTGGGACTATTTTCTGAGAATTAAAAAGCCCACAATGAAATGAGGGGTTTACTGTGTTAAACATGTGAAATAGAGGAGCTGGGTAGGATTGGATGAAATGAGACCCTTCCTCACAAAGTCACATCTCAAATCTATACTGCACCCTTGGCCAGAGTAAAAATAGAGATCTCAGTCTAGACAAACGTGCTCCAGGGCACTCGGTGCGGAAATAGCCCATGAGTGATTGGAACTTTGTTATTGTTATTGCTACAAAAATCAAGTCTGAATTCTTGAGTCTACTGTCCCATTGAATTTTGTTTGCCTCTGCATTGTGGAAGTTAACGGAAGATCACTGAGCCTCACAAGAGAGATATATAGCTCTTCTGTTCTCTATATTTCCAGGTCTTGCCAGTGTTTGTGAGGGAGATTCATTCCTGGAGCAGAGTGTTGGTCAGGATTCCACAGCATGTCACTCTGGCTCAGAGAGCAGCACACTTTCCCATCTTCCCTCATCCAATCTTCACTCTCTGCTATTTCCCAGATTTGTTCAGTCTGCATAAAAAGGGAGCCAAATGCAAAATAATCTGTCTGAAAATGTTTTGGGAGAGGATTAATAATGCAATCCAGAACCATGAACTCTTTGGTTCTTAGATGGTTGATGCTGGCTTTGAAAAGCTGGGTGTTCCATCTCCACCTTTCTCCACTGGAGCAATAGTGTTCATTCACCATCAGCTCTTTTTGTGCTGAGGGTTCGGAACCCAAATGGTACTGAATTCTAACTGCAGAGGAAAACAGAAGGCAAGCAAAAATACATTGGCTGAGTGATCCAAGAACACCAGCACCATTTCTTCAGTACGTGTATCTCTTTCATGTGGTACTTGTCCTCTCTGTGGACCATACTGACAAGTGAGGAAAGGAAGTTAAACTCATTAATTTGCAGAGTAAAGCAGAAACTTCAAGGAAACATGGGCCACAAATGACTGTACGAGTGGGGTGCTAAGGTTTCCCAGCTACATGACTGATATTACAACAGCCTTGAGGTGGAGGTATTTTTCCTCCCACCCCGTCATCAGAGCCAGGAAGACTTTTCCCCTGAAATTCTGGTTGTCACTCCAGAAGGCACAGCACAGGCATGGGGAAGATGGCCTGGGAAGTCAGACCGCTCGTCCTGGAAGCTATTTCAGCAGGCTTTGAGCACCCATCAAGGACTGCAAGGGGTTGGGACTGCATGAGCCTGACCTGACTTCTGGACTTGGGTCCCCGACAGAATAAAGGAGACACATAGGTAGATCCATGGGAACCTCAGTGAGGTGTCTGCTGAGGAAAGACCCAGATGAGATCTGAAGATCAAAGTAGAGTCCCAGGAAAGGAACATTTTCAAATCCCATTTTTACAACACATTGCTAAGTCGGGCAGCTCCAGCTTCAAATTCTATTTTTACAACACGTAGCTGGTATGTCCTAGAGCAAGTTACGCAACCTATTTCTGCCTCAGTTTTCTCATTTGTAAAGGAACCACTTGACGTATGGCAGATAAGCCAGAGGCACATTTGCTATCTCTGCCTCACAGTGAAGTGTGGACATGCCAGTGCCTCCAGGAGGTTCTTCTGGGCAGAGAAACTTTTGGTCCCTAGACCTTTGTCTAGTTCCCTGCCTGTATGCTTCATATACAAGCAGCCCCAGGCAGAGAAAGGCCAGAGAATACTACAGGGCATTTAGTCAAAGGAGCTCTTTCTACTTACAAGGCCTAGACAAGCTCCAAGGGAGAGGCAGGAAGTGGCCCTGGGCTGTCATCCACCTGGAGGTGGCCCTGGGCTGTTGTCCACCTGGACAGCATTCATTCCTGAGGCTCTGTCTTTGTACAACCTATAATCAGCAACAGAAGTGTCAGGGAAGAAGCCATGGCGCCTACCATGGCTATCTGTCCAGTGGCTCTCACTTGCTGTGGGGAAAGGGTCAATCACCTAACTACACAGATCACACAGCCAGACTCCATGAAGGACAGATTGCCACAGGACTGACCTTGTGCTGCCCTTCATTCCTGGCTCCCTGCTCTAAATTTCTCATATAGAAGGAGCCACCTATGGGATGGATGAAATGGGACCAGCCAGTTTGTATGGAGATGAGCTCTGGGAGAAAGCCCAATCAGAGAAGCAGAAAGGGCTCTGTGTACAGAGTAGGGGGCCCGTGCCTCTCCACATTTGGGGTGGGAGCTGTCAGGAGACCCAGGCTCCTGTGCACTCTCCCCTCCATCCTGTTCCCTAACTCAGCAGAAGGAGGAATCTGGCTTTTCCCTGGTGTTGCCATCCTGAAGAAAGTACCAACTCTCATATAGCTAAAGGGTTGTTGTTTTCTTGTTAGAGCAAATGTAAGTCCACTAAAAAAAAAAAATTAGCAAAATGCACTATTGCAACTCCTCTGGCACCCAGTTCCCTGAAGGTTAACATCTTACCTGACTGTGAAGCATTTGTCATGATTATAAACCAACACTGACACTGTCACTAAAGTCCACTATTCCCATCAGATTGACTCTTAATTGGCAGCGAGGGTTCTGGCAGTTGTGTGAGGATGCATCCACCAACCGTCACAGCCTCATGCTGAAAGATCCAAAGTGGCCCAGTCATCCCCTGTGTCTTGACTACTCCCTCCTCCCCCAGAGCCTGATGATTTTGGTGTAAGCAACAAAGTAAGGAAAAGGTGAGGTAGAAGTAAGGGACAAAGCCGAGAGAGCTACCACCGTCTGCAGGGAGAAGCTGTCTCAGTGTCGAGCAGGCCTCGTATGTAACAGGGAAGTGCAGGGCCACACTGTGCATGCCCAGGGCTCAGTCCTGCCCAAGTGCTGTCTTCCCTTGCTATATTCTTTCCTTCCCTGCTGAGCCTTCCAGCAGCAGAACCAGGTGCTCTGCCCAGGGCCCCTTCCACTCTGCTGGGCTTTATCTGGCTCCCAGAGGCTCCATGTGAGATTGCACTCTACGCATCTCAAGTAGGCAGTCTTCAGCCATGACAGCCACCTGCCCCCACTTGCGTGTCCAAGGTTTTCAAGCTGGAGCAGGAAGCACCAGTTCCACACTTTGCCTTCTTTCACTACTTGTCTCTCAACCCTCCTTGTCATATGCTAAATGGGGACTTCACAGGAAAGCAGGAGCAGCCTGAGCTCCCAGGTCCACTCCTGTGCCCCCAGCCCCTCCCACTGCCGTGCTAGGAGCTGTCAGAGACAACAAGTAATCTTGGATCTGTTCTGATGTGCCATCTCTGCTTTATTGTTATGACAGGCGCTGGCATTGATGGAGTGGAGGAAATTAAGCGTCACCCTTTCTTTGTTACTATCGACTGGAATGTAAGTTGCATGTCCCAGCGGCTCACAGATACGGAGAAAGGGGCGTGGGAGGAGGTAGCTGCTTGGCAGCTGTATAGCAGCTCTTTCAAAACTGAGCCACCTGTGGGAAGAGAACTCTCAGGACCCCTTGAATGGATGGCATGTAAGAGGTACAGACTGTGACCCCACCCTACCTGTGGCTCACCTCTACCAATGTAAATGGTCCCTGTATCACCCCCAGCCCTGCCAGTTTCTTCCCAGGTACCAGCTATTGGGAGGTAGATACCATTGGTTTCTGATGCCTGATGACTAGGAGGCATCAGGAAGCCAAGAACAACAGGCTTTTCTCCTGTCTCAAAGAGGCTCCTCCCTTGATAACAGATGCCTGCAGCCCTTTCTTGTAGATGGACACAGTCCTTTAGATTGATACAAAACCCACTTGAGATTTTCTTTTCCTGAGCTCACAAATTAATCTCAGAGGACTTTTAATGGAATGTCTTAAAACATCAGAATCCCCTTTAGACAGCACAGAGTTTGTTGTGTACTCTGGCCTCCTGTCTCTGCTCTGTGTCCCCATTGGTCTGGGCCTCCAAGAGTGGAGAGCACACTAATTGGTGCTGGGTGAAATCAGCTCTCCTCCTCTTTCCATCTGAGTCCCACTCACACTGGGAAGTCTGGGAAGGTTCTATGCCCCATCCCAACTCTCCAGCTCTGATGTAGAACTTGTTTTCATGAGGCTTCTATTCCAAGATGATGGAAGAAAGTGTGAACCTCTAGGATGCCCACAGTGCCCAGCAGGTGGGAATCCATGCTCCAAGAGCAAGTGGAAATCAGATTATATACCCCTCCCCAGATAAAGTAGGAGCAATGCAGGCTCTCCAAAACTGTGCCTCCCTCTGAGCTTCTGCCTGAAAACTGAATCTTGTAAGATGTTCAGGCCACTCAGTCTCAAGCAAACATTTAAAAATCATTTTCAGTCCATGGTTGATGATTGGAGCATATTTTCTGGGATGCTTCTCCTATCCATGAAGATTGGTTTACAGACCAGCCCCACCTCTCACTGACAGTGGCCAGCATGTGCCCCTGCAGGGTGATCTACACCGCACAGCATCTGGGCTTAGGAACCAGCGCCTTGGGACATGCATTGGTGTGCATGCCTTGGTGACACTGTCAACATGTCTCAGGGATTTCCACAGGCATTCACAGCAGCATGCACATATCTATTTATTTGTCACCTGCATATTCATTCACTCAGCCACTTGTGTTGGCATTTCATGTTTCTGGCACTTTCTGGGCAGTGGGTAGAGCAGTGGGGATAGCAGAGACCAACCGTGGGGTCTGATGCCCTATTGGACAGGTGACTGTGCACCGCCTCACCAGGAGAGTGTTCTTCTGTGAAAGGGGAGGAAGTGGGACAGGTCAGGATAAATAAGAAGGTGGGAGGACAGTGTTTGCATCCCCTAGCCTTATACCACCAGGCTGGGCTCTGGCTGGCTTGTCTTCTGGGATCCTCATCCCAAACTCTGGAGGTCCACTCTACCTCCTTCTCCCTTCTCCTAAGGCACCCAACTGCAACCTCTCACCCCACTTCTTAACCCAGCCCTGTTCCCACCTGTCATCTTTAAATGTGTCATACCATATCACTGACCTCTGCTGCATATTATTTTCTGCCTCCTGCCTCTGAGAAGGGTGACAGACAAATGCCAGTGTGTGAGTAAATGAGGAATGAAGGAAGGAAAGAGTGAGTCCATGTATGCTGAGGGCCAAGGGAGGGACCTCAGGACAGGTGGCTGTGGAATGAGATCGTCCCATTCCCTTTCTCTCTGTAACCTCTACAGACCATGCCTAGGACATGGAGAGGGGGATTTCTGTGCAGATAATGGTGCACAAGAGCTGCAGGTGGAAGGAGAAAGAGCTTGGGGTGAGGAATACAGGGAGGCGTCCAACCGTGTATTCTGGTGACTCCACAAAATACTTAGCCAAGGGACCTTGACAAATGCTGAAGACAGATGCTGTCCCAGCTGGAAGTGCAGTCCAGGAGGGCATGCTCGTGATGCTAGGCAAGCTTGCTAGGTTTCTGGGCTTTGAACAGGAAGATGGATTTTGAGAGATGTCTTTCTGTTCATGGAACCAAGCGTGTTTACTCTTTATCCCTGTCCTTGCCAAAGGCTGCCTCATAGAATCTTGACGGAGGAAAGTCCCTCATTCTATCCAGCCTTCTGCATTAACAGAGCCTGTGAGTGAAGGAGGAGCTCTGAAATATGGTTCTTGCATTAATTTATTCAATAAATAATGCATGACACCTGCCTGAATGAAGCATAATCAAGCTCTCCTCAGTGTAATGGTTAGAAAATAGAGTTCCATCCTCAAGTCACTCAGTCAGGGAATCTGTCACACCAGAAGACTGTTGCTTGCCATAGAAGCAGACTGAGTATCCAAGCACAGGAGGGCAAAGACTTGAGCACTCACCAAGAGATGGCACAGGGATGACAGAAAAGATATGCTCAACAATGACCATGGGCATGCTAGTGCAGGGTCTTGGAAAGAACCACTGGCCCCGGATGGGTTTGATAGTCTTGATAGCCATTCAGGCCCTGCTGAGACAAAATAAGTGATTTCTCCATCTCTGCTGACCCCTCCCCCAGGCAAGGCCTGGGCATTATCCTTGCATCTGTGGCCAAGGCTACTAGCCCTGTGTCTTGGCTACTAGCCTGGACCCTCTGCCATGAGCTGAGCCTTGGAAAGTCCATGGGAATGTACTTAAGGACTGTTTTGCTCAGCAATCTGTGGTCCAGATGTGCCCTTGTGGTTGTCAACCACGGGTCATTTCTGGCTGCAAGATCATACCAGTGGCTTCCCACTGGGATACTGACACTCGGAAGTGATGAAGGAGAAGACATTCCCTGGCTCTTGATGTTCACCAGGGGACTTTACCCATACTATTGCCTCAGGACCCAGCTGGGAAAATATAAAGATATTTATTTTCCTCTTTGCTGCCTTCTGTGACCCAAAACTGCCAGCAGGGTTTTTTTTTTTTTAAATAAACATCTGTCATGCACCAACCATCCCCTGAGGGCTCAGGTGACCTGCTGGAACAGAACACATCATTGACAAGGGAAGTGGGTTGCACCTGTCTGCCCTGTGTTGCTTTTGCTCTGGCTTTCTGTGCCTGGCACATTAATGTGTGCTCCAGGGCAGCGTTCTGGAGGCTCTCTCGTGTGACCTGCTAAATGAAAAAATCACAAGTTAATTATAGACTGGAAACCTCTTACAGGGTGTGCTGGAGTCCAGCAAATACAAGCTGTGTTTATTTTTCTTCCATGGCTGAAGCAATGCTAAGAACACAGGATTAGTGTGAACCTAAAATAACTTCATAGAAGGTAATATGCAGGCTGCACCAGACAGGCCCCAGTAGCTTCCTTTGCACAGAGACCTGAGTGAAACCAGCAGAGCTCAGAGCTGTACCAGATGCACCTTTCTAGGGGAAGATGTTAGTCGCTCTGATTCTCTTTCCCAGAATGCCACTCATGCCAAGACCCCAAGAATCACCACTTCTCATGTGTGATTGCAATTACTTTTATTATTACTGTTATTAATCACTAGTCTGAGTTACGATATTTTTACATTTCAAACCTTCCAAGCACATCAGCAACTCTTACTCTAGAGTGAGGTAAGAGGGACTCCAGGGGAAACTTGGGCACAAAGCAATTAGAAGGGTGTCCAGGTCACTTGGGGACCTACAGCTTGTGATGCGGTACCCCTGGATGTCATGTGCATAGACAGGAGCAGAGAGAGGGCCTGTAGGTCCCCGTGATCTTGCTACCTCCATGAAGAGTATTTCTAGCTCCTCACAAGAGTTGATTTCAGCCACTGGTCAGGTCAGGGGTCCAGATAACCCTCACCACTCCCAATGTCCAGAGAAAGATTTCCATCACTCTGTCCCTATGCTAAGTATATCAAGGGTGCTCACCCTTTCAAGGTGTCAGCAAGGACTCTTTGATTTAGTAATTCTGTAAATCTAGATGCCTTTATAGATTCTTACAGTTGGGATAAACTGTAAGTGAAACTCTACTCCACCACAGTGCCCTAGAAATCATTTAAATTTGCCCTGTCCCTTCTGTTCTGCCACCTTCCTGCACCTGCATATGTTTGTTACTATTTCAGAAACAGTCTATAAATGTGTCCTTTGCTTTGTTGGAGCATGTTAATTTGAAACGTCTGGAACCAAAACTGCATAAAGCTGATGTTAGGGTCTGTGGCCCCAAACTAGAACCAGTTTCCTCCTCCATTATCCAGTTACCACTTTTATTGTATTCTCTCTGTCCTTTTCTTACTCATTCTAAAGGCCCTTTAGGTATAAACAGAACCCTAATGTGCCTGCTCAAAGATTCCTTGCATACGCATGTGTGATATGATATCTGTCTCAAGGTCACTGCCAGCCTTGTGCCATCTAACATCCTTGAACAAATCAGATGATTTATACTGGTGAACTGAACCATGAAACCCCATTTTATTCCTATGGGGTTGGATGTGCCTTGTTCTAGAGTCTCAGAGAGGGAGATTCCAGCTCAGAACATCCACCACATACGTCTTAGAGTTCAAAATTTGTGAGAATGCCGCTGCTGCTTTCTCTCCAGCTCAGCTGAAGTGTGTGCTGCAATTTGCATTCAGAAGCAGAGGCAAAATCACACACTTCAGACCCATTCTCAGGTTTGAACACAGGGCAAAGAAAAATATACATTGTAATAGCACATATTAGCACCTTCCAGAATGTTTATGCCAAAACAGGAAAAAATTGAGCCACCTTTAAAATCTCAATAAGCATCCAGGATGATAAAGCAAAGGGCAGAGTGCCTGGCTCCAAGGAGCCCCAGGAGAACAATACAGAGATTGCTACTTTCTCCTCCCAAGACCAAACGCTGAGACCAGACTGAAGCTATAGCAACCTCAGGGGACAGAGGGCAGAGTGGCCCCCAGAGGACAGATTATATTCACAACAATAATCAGCATTTGGACCCTGGCAGCTCCTTTCATACCCGTGTTCTCATGCCTCAGGCATGCCCCTGCTGCCCAGGTCAGGACCTGTAAAACCCACACAGAGGCTCAGAAGCCTGGGTGGGAAATGGGCAGAGACACCCATGCTTACGAACTATCTTATAAAGTCCAATGTGATCACAGCATACAAATACTCCACATAGTCACTGGGTTCTGTGGCCTCTCAGTGGGACCTGCTGGTGGCTTCCAGTAATAAGCTTGCAGAGGTGTGGAGAGGTGAGGGAGAAACTGGACAGTACGGGCCATAAGCAGGCTGGGCCTGTGTCCAGCTGTGAGGGGCAGCATCCTGGATACAGGGACCATGCTTACCCTCACCCTCCGGCTGCCTGATGTGCTGGACAATATTCTCAACCCAAGTGAGGTGCTCAGGTACCTTTCCTAGGTTCTGACTCTGACGCTAAGGAGTCCTTTTTCTTCTGGATAAAATCTTGGAGCCGCCTGATGTGAACCCCTAACAAGAACTGGCCAGGGATAAGCCTTGTTTTTATGGGCAGCCTAAATTTACCAACCATCAGTTTCCTCATGAATTGACAGCATGTCCCATCTCAGATGTCACGAGAAAGATCAGGGACACACAGTCACCTTTGCCCGTGTCAGGGATCCCCCTAGTGTAGACAAATGCCCAATCACCCTGACATCCACATCTGCTTCTTTGTATTGCAGATGGACAGATCACAGACACCAGGGAAAGGCCAAGCAGCATACATGTGCATCACTGACATCTGGGGAGGTGCTCTCTATTTCAGGGGTGTCTTGAGTTTTATAAAGTCAGTGGCAGCCCTGGCCTCTACCCCCAGATGCTGGATAGCACAGGGTAAAGACCAGTTTCTCCAGAACTTGCCAAATGGTCCACCGGATGCAGATGCCCTCAGGGAAAGAAGGAGCACTGATCTGAGGGATGTTTTCTTAGGCACATGAAGCTGACCTTCCCAAACAGGGTCCCTGTGTGCCTGGGGAGAAACTGAAATGGACCGCGTGAACTCTGGCTTCTCAGAGACAATTCCAGTGAGAGGCAAACTCCTCTCACTGGAGTTGGACGCATGGGTGGCAGCTTGATTTGTCTGCTTTATTTTGTTTTAAATAGCAATCTTCCATGTAAATAAGTACTTCTTACAAAAGTAGGAGGCCTACCTTTGTAACAGGAGTCTCTCTGCCTCCCTTCTCCCTTCTCTCCCCCCCTCCTTTTTTTGTCTTTTTCATTTTTATCGGTACCAGGGATCGAACTCACGACCGCCTGCTTGCAAGCCCCTTGCCCCAGCCCCTCTCCCTTTCTTTCTCGCAACCCTTTCCTCTCTCTCTCTCTCTCTCTCTCTCTCTCTTTCTCTCCTGCCTCCTCCTCCTCTATCTCTGTCTTTCTTTTTCTTTCTTCTTTCCTTCTTTCTCCCTCCACCTCAGAAGACGTATCTTTACTTCAGCAGGACAGATTTTATTTGCTAACCTAGCTGAAGCAAGGCAGGAGAGCTCTGGATGCAAAGCAGCACCAGGGTTCCAGAACTTTCCAAAGGAGGGTGTGCCTTGGAAAGGTTTGCTCCTGCCCTGTGCCTGCATCGCTAAAGGATGCAGCTTCTTTTCTGTGTCTGTAAGGAGCTTATGAAAGGGCTCATGTCGATTCCTGATAAAGCTGTTCACCTAGGGCAGGAAATGGAGAGCAGGTGGAGTTCCAACAGTCATCCTCTGTGAATTCCCAGTCCTTGGCCTTCCTGGACTGGGTGATTTTGCTGCCACCCTAGTCTCTGACTGGTTTAGTGTAGGTGAGCACCTGTACCCAGCGCAAAAGGCAAGTGCCATGCCATAGACTTGGGGCTTTCAGAAGGATCAGGAGACCTGGTTACCGTTCCTGCCCGCCTTCTTCTCCTTCTTGGCCTTGAATAAGTTACTCTTTGAATTCTAACCTCAGTATCATTGTATAATAAGGTGATGAAATCTGCTTTGCCTTGTCACTGAGACATTGATAGCAGATTTCATCTAGAGTCACTGCCTTTGGCATCCACACCTGCCTGACCAGTTGGGTCCCTGGCTGCAAAGCTGGGCTCCAGACCCTTTAGTTGGAGTGTCTAGGAATTGGAACATATAGCCAATGGCCTGACCTCCCCTTCCCAGCCCTGCCATATGTTGTGTTTGCCACGTCTTCCATTTTCTGGGTACACCCAAAGCAGTTCCAGAAGTCCTCTTGTAAGAGTGTCTTTACGAGATGATTAAAAAAAAAAAATTATAGTGCATGTTGCTGCCAAGTGCCATCTAACAGAAATAGAGGCTCATAAAAACATTAAGTCGTGTCCTTATCCACTTTGCTCATCAGAGCTAGCACCATGCCACTTATGGCTCTTCCACAAAGTCAAAATGACCATACAAGGTAAACATTTTGAGTCATCAGGATATCAAGATAACCAGGACAGCACAACTAAGACACTCATGAAAAAGGACTTTCAGAACTACTTCAGAAAATGGCAAGAATGGTGGGATTAATGGGTTTGAAGCCAAGGGCAGTATTTTGAGGGGGATGAGTGCAAACATCTCTTTTACTGTAAGAAATCTTTTTAAACATTCACTGTATTTATCACATCTGATATATCATGTAGGACATATGTAATACAACACACTGACATAGTCTGCATTTTGTGTACATTCACACACATGCAGGGTATGGAAAGCTCTTCTAGATGAAGGTGCCTATAATACAACCTCTCCCAGGTGGTGTCTGGGCTGCCCATGCCCTTCTCAGCCTCCCCAGAACCTGTCTTGCTTCCTCTGCAGAAGCTGTACCGGAAGGAGATCAAACCACCCTTCAAGCCTGCGGTGGGCAGGCCCGAGGATACCTTCCACTTCGACCCTGAGTTCACGGCACGGACACCCACAGGTGTGTGACAGTGACAGATCTTTCCAGGGGCCTCTCCTATTTGACCCTGGATAACTGAGGAAGAACAGAAGTATCCACATTCGAGGGTGCTCCTAAAGGAAAAGGACTACCAATTCTTTTTTGGGCTTCTTGTCTTCTCTGCCCCAAAATAAAAGTTTAAGTGGCAGAGCTAGTTCTGTGGTATTCTCTAGATAACGCCCACCTGGGAATTCATCAAGGTGTTGTGTAGCCCACTTCCCATTTTGAGTCACCAGGTTGTGACCACCCATCTCACGAGACATGCAAGCAAGAACCCCACGGGATAGTTGAGGTGAAACAGATCTCTAGCTTAACTAGAGGGTTTCTGTGGAAAAAGGAGGCTGTCACTTAAGTTTATGCATAAAAGAGTTACATTTATTATTAATGAAAATCCAAAAGCCTTTTTGAAAAGACATATCAGTACTAGATCTTAGCATAGCAAGTGGATATATAAATTTAGTTTTGTGATATGTCCAAAATTGCTCTCAGGATCTGTTCAATCTGAACTGGTCAGCTCCCTTTCAAATGATCACTTGTGATAATGATGAATTAGTGTTTACTTCTCTAGCTATAATAGTTGACTTAGTATGCTAGGGGTGCCATAGCAAAACACTACAGGGCTGAGGGGCTTCCACAGCAGACATTAGAAGTCTCACAATTCTGAAATTCAAGATCAAGGCTCCAACAGGGTGGGTTCCTTGGCTTACAGTTGGTCACCCCACTGTGTTCGCACGTGGTCTTTCCTCTGAGTGTGGAGACAGCATGCAAGCTCTTGTGCCTTCTTTTCTTAAGAGGAGATTGGTTCTACCCAATTAAGACTCACCATTATGACTTGTTTAATCCCAGTTACCCTTGTGAGAGCCTATCTCAGAGTCCAGCCACACTGTGGCTTAGTGTTTCAGCACGTGAATCTGGAGATGCAAATACAGCCCTAACAGTGGTGGGGTGGTAGTTATTTCCATAGTAGCTCTGTGCATATTCAGGGGGTGAGGGAACTGAGGAACTTCTAGAGGGTTGCCAAGGTTCACGGCAATTTCCTCACTGATTTGCATCTAAAATTTCCCAGCATTTCTCAAAGATAACTATGAAACAAGTAGAAGATCAAAATGAGTATCAAATAGGTAAAATTGGAACAGAAAACCTCCTCGTCCTTTCTGGATCAAGAAACAGAGAACCCCCTTGTCCCTTCTAGGTCTGAGCACAGAAAACCCTTTATCTCCCTTGGGCCCTGGCTGCCATGCACGGAGGCATGCTGGTGGGTGTGAGCTGGTCCAGATGGACAAGGCCTTGGTCCTGTGACAGGATGTGCTTAGGACTCGGGTCTACTCCTGCTCTAAAAACAGCAAGGCAGGAAGAACAGGAGTGCTTGACTCAATGCACATGAACCAGGAGCCATGACAGGCTACTTACTCTGTCTTCTGGGTCCCATGCAATCCCCAGAGAAAACCAAAACCATCAAAATAGAGGAGATTTGGGTGATGACTGTCCTAAAGTTCTGCTACATGTTAATGAGGAACAAAGGAAGAAGAAAAATTGTCCAGGTATTGGCTGAGTCCTTCTCATTGACCCAGTTAATCAAGTTTGCAGAAGAAGATTTCTTTTTAGCTTCCAACATTGGAAAGTTGAGCCAGGGTTTGGCAATTCCACAAATCACTGGAAAATGTCACCGTATTTTTCTTCCTGTGGGTGACTTGAACGTAAAAGAACAAGAGAGTACATAATCCCAAGCACAAGCAGGTTGTCCAGGAAGCTGTGCATACCTCCGCAACCTGGAGAGTCCTCTGTGGAGTGGGCAATTCTGCTTCCTGAGTTGCCCTCATGTGTGGCTGTGTGCTTAAAATATTCAAAGCAAGACCACACTTATGCACTGGGTAAGAAGATGCTAATGCAGTCAACTCTAAATTATTCATACAACGTGCTTTTTGTATTATTCATGAAGAATTTAGACTCCAGTCTAGCTGGTCAGTGTGACCATAAGCCTCATAATCCTTATGTGCACTTAGAAAATTCAATTTTATTTTAATACTGTCCTAAGAAAAACACATTTAGACAGTGCATTCCAACACCACATAGAATTAGCTTTTGATTCCTTACTATCTCAGATTCTCAATTGGTTTTACTTCAAGTTGATTTATCACATTATGCATTTTGGCATCTTTAGTAATTAGAGTACTAAAGATGCATAAAAGTCATTCTAATTTTATAAAAGGGTGAGATTCTTTAAGCAGATCGGTGGTGCATTTTTGGGTTAATGAGCAGCCATAGCAATATGAGGCTTATAAAGTTGATAATCTGCCAGTCACTTATTTTAGATTTTGGATACACAAAGGGCATTTCTTGTAATTGATTTTCATTCTTAATTAAATTGAGATCATCCGGTTTATGCCTCCTAATCATACATCAGCTGCTCGCTGGGGCAGGGCATGCTGATGGGTGTTCGACGCCAATCTAAGATATGAAAACCATGAGTCCTATTCCACATATCAGAAAATATTCACAACATCATCAAAGGTAACCCAACAATTTGTTTTACATTTCTTTGTATCTATCCTGTATTTTTGGCCTTCTGTAAACACTTTGCTGAAAATCAACATCCCTTGCATGATTATAAAGCATTCTTCCAAATTTTATTTATACCACTCATATTCAACTATTATCCAGCCACAACAGTTAATTGTCAGCCTTTTAACTTGTGGTAAAGACCACTTGACTGCTCTAACATTTTTGCTGTCTCTCCTACTGTATGCAGGAAGAGGTGTAATTCTGTGCCATATCCAGCAGTGCTGGGTATTTCCTGTCTCTTTGTTGGTCAACAGCCATTCCTTATTTCATCTACAGATTTTCCACTAACATGGCTTGTATTGTGTAGGTGCACAGATTTCCTTCAGTGTGGGTAAAACAGATCCTCATCTGTGCTCAGCTTTTACCACTGCACAGCTCTGCCAAAGTCATAGAACAGGCTCAAGTTCTCAGATCTGCAGCAGGGAGAATATTAAAGCACCTCTGGGGTTTGAAGATTACTTAAACTCTGAGGTATCCATTTATCAAGTTGCTGTTTTCCAATGGAGACTTTTAGTGCTGCGCAAGGTAGCTGGGAGGATTGAAAGAGAAGCCGGACCTCAAAACTCAAATTTCATGCAGGGAGAAGAAAGTATTATGCCATCTCAGCACTCTTGGGGCATAGCTGCAGGCCCTAAAACATACTCACCTGCATCTTATCTCCTAATTCAACTTCCCTCAAACAGGACATTGGGAGTTCATTTCCAATCAACCCCAGTCATGTTAAATGGTCCTGTGAGCCTGTCTGCCTGCTTTGCTTGTGAAGCCCTTTTGTAAGGTCATGAGTCCTGAGCTGAGCTCCAGGTCTGGCTGATTCTCTGTCTATGATGCTGAAGACTAGTTAGTCCAAGTCCTCAAAGCATCCTCCCAGCATATGGTCTACGTCCTGGATTTGAAAGGAAATGCCCTCATAACCCCACTTTACAATGGAACAAAGAAAAATAAAATCCACATTTTTTCTTCAGGTGCCTCTCCCAGTCCACACACCCCATGAGGGACAGAACTGAACTGTCTAGGATAGAAACAGTCAAAAGAGAGTATAAAGGCAAAGGCTTTTTCAGACCCATCTCGGGTAAATGATTCTAGGTTATATATGAAATATGGAATACATATATATAATTTTTAAAAATATTTTATGTATATTTGTAAGATTATAATATAAACTATATTTTGAATACTATTCACATAAAATCTGTAATACATTTTATTCATGCACTCAATATAATACAAATTAAGACACATATTCAAATATTTTCTTACAATGTACATGTTCTCCATATTGTTTTACAACTTATATATTCTTTTTTCACTTGGCAAGCTGTTGGGAGCATGCCGGCAGCATGTGTCTGTGGTTTATACAGTTGCATCTCATCTGATTATCACAGTCTTCCTAGCATTAATCACAAGCATTACTAAGCCCCTGGATATGCACAGACCATTATTGATCATGACCATGATGATTTCCTTAATGGGGGGAAATATTTAGATTGTCCCCTGTTTTGCTGTATCAAATACGGCTGAAGTAAACATTTCCTACATTAATTTTAAGTACTGTTGAAAATAATCCTGCAGGATAAATCCCTAGACATAGAGCAGATCTCCACAGAACACGTACACCATGGCGGCCACTGCCTACCCTCCTAAGAAGTTGTGCTGATGCTGCTCCCTTCTTCAGCTCTGAGTCTTCCTGCCCCCTGCCAGACCTGGGTGTGACTCATTACTTTTATTTTTGATAATTCCTTAGGCAGAATTGCCATCTCATTTAAATGTGCATATGCTTACACACTGGAGAGACTGAGCATCTTGGCACACCTTTGATGGCCATCAGTACCTCTTTAGGGTCTTGCTTGATCTCTTGGAGCTGTCCACAAAATAGAGTTAAGCTTTTTGTCTGTTATATACAATGCATATATTACCACCAACACCAACACCATAATGAATGGGAAGTAGAATTGATCACATTGCAGTCACAATTTTGAAAAAAAATCTTAACAGAGTTTAGAAAAATTGTAACTCAGGAAATGGCTCCTTTCACACTCCTGGCATGCAGTAAACTACAACAACTTTGTCCCAGTGTCCACAGAAGGCCGTGGGCAGAAGGAGGAGTGGGATGACGCTGGGCTGTCACCAGCTACACCCCTGGACATGCTGCTGCCTGTGGACCTAGAGATTAAGTGCACAAAATGTGGTGTCTCAGTTGCCTGACCATCCCTCCTGAATCACTGGTCCCAGTCAAAGGAGGTATGGGTGGTGGATTGTGATGATGAATCTTACTAGTAAATTCAAAAGTCATTTTAAAGAGATGATCAATGATTATCCTAAAGTTTTTGTCCAAGGTATATTGGCCATTTAAATATCAAACCATGTGCATCACTGGAGGAAACAAAAGTCATTTCATAGATTTAGGCTTTCTACATGTCCTTCAACAAACACATATCACATATATATGTGCACACCGTTGTTTCTCCTGAGTTCACTCCACTCTCCTGAAGCCTGCCACTCTTCCCCACAGACTCTCCTGGTGTCCCCCCAAGTGCCAATGCACATCATCTGTTCAGAGGATTCAGTTTTGTGGCTTCTAGCCTGGTCCAGGAACCTTTGCAGCAAGACTTGAACAAGGCTCCTGTTCACCCAATCGTGCAGGTAACCCCATTTGCCCCAGTGGGTAAGACATGAGAGGTATTCAGCTGATGCCCATCGATAATGACTGTATGTACTCAGCCTCCCTGGTGTGCTAGATGCCAAGGTTGGGTGGATGTTTTACCTCAGGCTGCGGGGTGCTAAGGTGATGAATGTCTGATGCCTAATCTTTCCCAGCACCTCCTTTGTGATTGAGTGTTACCAGGGTGTTCACCATCCTGTTGTGAGCCATTACTTTGCCCCTGATGTATGTCTATCTTTAAGAAGGAAGAAAAGGCCATGAAACAAATGTCACCATGGGTATCAGAGTTATCGTCTTGGGTATCCTGAGCCAGAGGTATCTTCACTGTGTGGAGTCAAGCCATACCCTAAGATAGTGTTAGATTTGTGGGTGCCAAATCTTTGGGAGGCCAGTGAAGATGATGATTTATAGAATTTTCCATCATATACATGCACATATTATATATATACAGAGAGCCCTAAGGAGTTAGGATTAAACTCACTTTTTTCAAGGTAGATTGGGTGGTGGTATTGAATTTCCCTAGGATCTCCTCTCTCTCTCTCATGGCCTTATGGCATATGTGAAGTGAAGGCCTCATGTGTCTGTTCCAGGGATGTTTGTCTGGGTTAAGAGTGGGTAGATGAGGACTTTGTATGGGGATGGGAGCAGGTCCTGACTCAGATGTCAGGGACTTAGACTCCAGTCAGACATTTTTATCCAGACACTCTCTGGACATGGGCTTCTGAGTACTATGCCATATACATGCAAGTGCTTCTGCCTTTTTGCTTCTAGATTCTCATCTCCTCAATATTGAGAGAAATAAAACTGGTCAGTGGATACAGGATAATCTTTTTTCTAAACATTAAATGTCCTAGCACAAGGAACCAGAAAATTTGAAATTTATATCTAGAACCATCACTAAATAGCTCTAGACGTTGGGCAAAGGAACCCTGTAACTTCCGTATCTCCATTCCTCATTTCTCAGCACATGCCCCAGTTCCACGGGCACAAGTACCTTTTGAGAGTGCAAACAGGCCTCTCCTGTCTTGGTCTCTTGCAGCAGCTGCATGGGAACAATATCCACTTCACCGACGGCTATGAGATCAAGGAGGACATCGGGGTAGGCTCCTACTCGGTATGCAAGCGATGTGTGCACAAAGCCACCGATGCTGAGTATGCTGTGAAGGTAAGAACGGCTCACTTTGTGAGCACGGTACACATGCAACAGCTGTACGGGAACATCGGTGGGAACATGGGTGCATGGGGGAATGCTCCCTCTGCTTGCCATTTTCTGAGCTGAGGTATGATGGTGCTGTTAGACGTCAGATGAGGTCAACCATCCATTTAAATTTGTCTTGCCAAACTTTAATATTTTCATATGTGACATGTGGGAACTACTGCCATTAGTACTTTATGTATACTATACCAAGAATCACTCTGAGCTCCCAGTTTTTTGATAAAATAGAGTTGAGAGATAGCAGGGGAATTGGCAGGGGAGGAAACAGGAAGAGAAGGAAAGAGAAAGGATGGTTAGAAAAATTTTGACCACCAAAAAGTAATCCAAGAATGAAGTATAGGGGCCAACGATATAGCTCAGTGGCATGGCACCTGCCTGGCAAGCATACGGTTTTGAGTGTAATTCATGGCTCTGAAACAAACAAACAAACAAAAAAAGAAGTATAGACTATTATTATTTGCAAACACTTAAGCAGAGAGCTAATGGTTTTACTTCCAACCATCAAAAATAGTATATATTGTTCTTGAACCTCCACATATTAACCTTAGCCTCATTGCTAAACACTTCATTTGAAAGCCTAAATTGGTATCTTTTGGAGTTTTCTAGGTGGTAAATGTGGGTTAACACCAAAACTCTCCTACAAAGAGAAGCATACATATTATATTCTCTCTACTAGACTCTGTAAAGTCCACCGCTCTTCCTGAAGGGACAAGGCCCAAGCCTGTAGCTCATGTCTGGCTGGTCCTTGCTTGTTCCCAAACATATGCTGCCCCTTGTTCTGCCAAGAATGTCTGGGGACAGGTGAGACTTCTGTCAAGCTGGAGTGTAGCAGGAGTCCCGGCCACCCTTTGTGGCTTTCGTAGGCTCATAAGATGCTGCTCAGCATGATAGCTGCGTGGACAACCCCATCCTCCAGGTTGCCCTCACCCCCACTGCTGTTTCCTCAATACAAGTGTGTTTCGAGGGCCACCCCTCAAGTACACACACATCCACTGGCAACATTTGCTCCGGGTTTCTTGACCTGTGGAAATACTTAGCTGGCAAAAAAGACACTACCCAAAACTTCCTAGAAGTTGATGGCATTCTGAAAAAAATGACCTTTTAATTTCTCAAGCAAAAAGAAATGACTTAATACAGAAGCGTAATTAATGTGTGGGTCCTGCTGGTGTATTCTCAGATTCAGCTTGCCCATTGCCCTGAACATATGTAGGAGAGGTTGCAGGAATATCCATATCACGGTTGAACTCCCAGGGATGTTGACTGAGGTTGTGAGAGGGTGGTTGTCATGGGGGACACCCATGGAGGCCAGAGCAGGAGAAGCTTCTCTCCACAGCACAGCACCATCCCTTGTGTGTTTCTAGATCTGGATTCTTGGGCAGGGTTTTTTTCCCTGCTTCTCTACCTCACTGTTGGGGGAGTTTACAGAGAAATAGACAGACACCCACCATGGCACAGTCAGATGCTGGCGCCATTTCCAGATGTAGCGATGGTGGGTAGGAAACTGTATTCTGCTTAGATGAGAGAATTTTATGGGAAACATGTTTCCCATATGCTTCATCAGTGTACACAGGCTTCTTAGAATCTTCTCGGTGTGGGTTGTTACTCACAGAAATTCTTCAGATTTTTTATTGGGTGATTAACAGCCATCCTAGAAACAAATGCTCTTGCCAGCAACTACAAAGAAACAAGTACATTGTGTGGCCCGCTTGGCAGTCCCAGTGCCCTTCCAAAGACACCCACCACTCTGCCCTGAAAATAAGCCCCATTGACAAGGGCAATGGCCTGTGCTTCCCTAACATTCCCACATGCAACCCTCACACAAAGATCCATCTGAAGTCAGCTTTCTCTCTGCCTCTCCCCCCTTCTCTCTCTCTCTCTCTCTCTCTCTCTCTCTCTCTCTCTCTCTCTCTCTCTCTGTCAAGAAGCCAAGCACTGTAGCTCTGGCTGATAGAAGAAAAGAGACAGACCTTCCTTCCTGTTTTATTTTTTTACAAGCCTTGAATTTTCCTAGACAAATTTAGTTAGTGGACATAAAGGGATTTCCCTCATTTTTCCTGAGACTACAATGGGTCATGATTTATTGTCTGGAAGATCTTAAATTAACCTGCACAGGAAGGAGCAGGACCATGAAAAAACCATAGGATTCTCTGTGAGATATATCTCAGGATCTACACATCACCATAAATCCAAAACCATTTCAGAAGCACATCAGAGCCACCTCCTGGAGCAGCAGTAGTAAGACCATCACCTATCTGAAGGTGACCACTGTCTATGTTTTCTCCAAAGATGGAAGAACCAGCAGTTTTGTGACAAGAGCTCATTCTATAGGGTGGCCTCCAAGTCACCAGAACAGCTTTAGTAGAATTTAGGCCACTGTCTCTTTAGCAATTTCTAGGTAGACTGTAACTGAACTGCTTCTTTTCTGTTACAGAAAAGCCAAAGCACTAATACAGAAAAGCCAAAGCGCTGATACAGTGCAATCCCTACCTCTGATAGAAGAACTAGAAAATAGCACATTTCAGTGTATTTCCTGCTGTGACCCCAGCTAGGAGCACACAGTTGATTACTTGGTGTGTGGCCTGACTCTCAACTTAGCAAGTGTGCTCCTGCCTCTCACATTCAGCTGCTCCACCCTCAGCCACAGCTTGAATGTCTTGCAAATGCTGCATCCAAATTCCAGTACACTTTGTACATGAAAAGAGGACCTGCTTCGTTCTGAGGAACGATCTAGTCAGGGAGACAGGGCATCCTCTTCATCTAGTACACAGTGGCTCAGAACTGTCCGCACTCAGTAATGATCGGGACAAACAATACAGCCATCACAACCAGCAGGACTGTGACCAGGACATGGTTTTCTGCCCAGGGCAGTCATCATCAGTTGGGGACCCTGACAATGTGAAGAGACATTTCGGTTTGGGGCGGGAGATCCCACTGACGCTGATGTGTGAGGTCAGGACTGCTGCTTAACAGGCTGAGCATCCCCTATCACCTCTGCCAGTCTTTCCGCCCATAATACTGATATTGACAGATTGAGAAGCCCAGCCTGCGGCAGCCTTCTGGTGAGGTGGGAGGTCAGATCAATAAAACTCCAGGAGGCTCTTTCGGAGATGAGGGTGGTGTGGCCCTTCTTTGCTGAATTTTGAGGGACTGTCTCTTGACAGTGGATTGATGATTTCTCCATAAGTTCAGAGCCTAGTTAGCACCTCACAGGAACAGCAGTGACTCAGATTGCAGGTCCTTCTGGAGAGGAAGTAGACAATTGTCACCTCTGTGAATGTTGGGCCATATACAGGGTCGTAATAGGCCTCACGTTCTTGGATATTGTTATGGTATATGATATGATCATTGAGATATATAGCATATATAATCTTCCCACTGTAATTACTTTGATATCTATAAAATATAAAGTTATATATATACTAGTTTACCAAACATATCACCAGTCAGTAAAATTGCTGGTTTTGCATTTATTCTCAGGTGCATTGTTAAAATTGAATCTCCCTCTGCTGTGCACTATGCAAAGGCCTTTGAGAAGTGATACCTGGAATTGTTCCTAAACAAAGCCACCATTTAATACCACCCCAAGAATATAGTAAGGACTCAATGTTGGTTGAATTAAAATTTGAATTCTTTGGTTTGGTCCCTCCCTCGGGACTTAGGCAAACAACCAAAACCACCCATCACCCTCCATTGACCGTGTAGCCTCTGGCAGTAGAGGCAGAGCTACCCCTCTTCCTCCTCACATACTTCAGATTTGACTCCATACACTTTCCCCATCCCCCAGCCAGTGTTAGGATGGCTGAGTACAATGGCATCGCGTCCCCTCCTACCTCTTCTTCCTTGTGTTAGACACATTCCACTTGACAGCTAAGCCCTGCTTCCTGAGAACCCTCTCAGGATGGTGGTGGGAGATGAGACTACTGGAATCTGCAGCATAGACCTGCATGCATGTTTCAGGTCATCTTGCTTCATTTCTCTGTTTACAGTCAGACTTAAATGGAATTCACTGTGCCATGTCAAAGGCGATGCGATGGAGAAGGATTAAAAGAAAGGAAGAAAGAATATTTGAAAGAAAAGTAACATTTGCATCCACCCAAGGTGCTGCAGTCATGTTATAGGAACTGAGAGACGGAGTTGTTAATTTTTCATTTGTTCGCAAATCTTTATGACTCAATATAATCAGGCACATATTCTAGACAATGCTATTTTCTGTAAATGGAAGGTTTCCTCTCCTGCTCCATGGCCTGGAGCAGGAAACAGAGAAAAATACATAAAGATACTAACATCAGAACTAACCTACTAAAGAGCTGACATTGTCGCCAATGTCTCTGTTTCTGCTGGACTCACTACTGCTGACCCTGAGAAAACTTTAAACCTGCTTATTCAGGGCATGGATGGTAGGCACAGAACTAACCTACACTCTGAAGGTACCAATGTCACCATGTTGGCCTCTTTTGCAAACCCCACAGAAGTGGATGAAGATCAAATAACCAACATCCAGCACTCATAAGGGCAGAAGCAGCAGTCATGGGGCAGCACTGAGACTTAATCACAGTGGCACTGCCATAACAAGGATGGTGGCAGTTAATACAGTGCAAAGTTCATGCTGAGGCCTTTCCAAGAGCACTACACACTAATTCACTTAGTTCTCACCACAGTCATATCATTATCAATACCAGCAAACAGAGTGACTGCTGAAGGATTAATGACTCCAGTGTGACCAGAAAGGGTGGTTAGCCAGTGCACCAGAAGCCATGGCATCAGCCTCATATGCTCCCACTGTCGGCTCACAGCTCTGTCTCTTGATGCTATTCGGGAGCCCTAAAACCTCTTAGACACTGAGCTTTAGTGCTAAGCCAAATCAGGAAGGAGTGAGCTGGCGTGATGTTGATGTGGGATGGACCAGTGGGTCATGCTTCAAAATAGGTGAGAAGTGCCAGAACAGCCCA